TCTGGGAGAAATTCAGATGCCACCCTGCTGATTTCTGCAGGTGGTGCACATCATTTGGTGCACGTAACAAAAATTATTCTGCGTGGCAAAAGGAACTTTGTGGCGGAGTGTAACACTGATGAATTTATTACAACATTTAGACCTCCGGGGGTGAAATTGAATATAATCCAGCCCCTTCCCCCGCCCTCATGGATTTAGAGGTGACAGCTTCAGGCTTTTACATAAAAGTCTGCTTATGGAAACATCCCTGACCGAGCCAGGAGCAGATGCCTCTAAGCCAGTGTTTCTCAACCAGTGGTACGAGTATCCTTAGGGATACTCAAGAGAAGTCCGGGGGGTACGTCAACATCACTGAAACTTGGAGAAAACTGAATTTTGTATTAATTTTTACAGTGCTTTATTATTTTTGTACTTTTTACACCCAAAAATGTCATCACCCGCCCGGCTACGATTAAGTTGTTTAAACAAATGTGTTGCAACGGTAGAAAAAAAATTGTGTGTCTGAAAACTGTAGGTACTGGGGGTACTTCTAATATTTTTTTTTAAAGGGGGTACTTCATGAAAAAGAGGTTGAGAAAAACTGCTCTAGGCCAGTTTGTGCTGCATTGGGGTCAGATGTCACTGAGCTGGCTTAGTGCCAAAGATTGAAATGGGGATCTCTATAGGGAGTGCTCCCCCTTGAAGTCTGTGCCGAATTCTTGATCAATTCTGACTCTTAAACATTCGCCCGGCATTTTTCATTCGAGCTGGGGCGTGAACCTTTTGTGTCCTGGTTAAACCCTAGGCAGGGGCGAGGTGTTGTTCTGCATTTCCTGTCTAGAATTGTAATGTGTTGTTTATCTGGGTCATTGATTATTAAACAAGTTGTTCCGCCACTTAAATGAACGTCTTATCACTTCATTATCTCATTAGTCGCGTTCCTATGCAATGTTCAACTGGTGCTCCACCCCAGCGTTGGCAATGATTCAAGTGCTGGGGAAGAGCTGGGTGCAACACAGCTTTGCAGCTGTGATACGGCTGCTGTGTTCCACCCCAGAGTCAGATGCATGTGAGCATCTGAAAGATCCCTGTGCAGTATTGCTGAGTGTCTGTTATACTGCCGGGCTATGTCTACACTGCGGGCTTCTTGTGCAAGAATGGCCGTTCTTGCACAAAAGCTTGCGGAGCGTCTACATTGCACGTGCATTCTTGCACAAGTAAATTTACAGTAAAGCATCGGAATAGTGGGCTTCTTGCACAAGAGTTATTTCTCTCCCCCCCAAGGAATAAGCCCTCTCGCACAAGAGCTCTTCCACAAGAAAGCAGTATGGACAGGCAACAAAGGTTTCTTGCGTAAGAAACCCCTATGGCTAAAATGGCCATCAGAGCTTTTTTGCGCAAGAGAGCGTCCACGTTGCCATGGATACTCTCGCGCAAAAGCACGTGGCAGTGTGGACACACCCTTGTGCAAGAAGCCTGCAGTGTAGACATAGCGCTGTTATGTTCTACCCCAGAATCAGCCGCATAATACCACGATGTGAAAGATTCCTGTACAACGTTGCTGTGTGTCTGTTATACTGCTGTTGCGTTCCACCCCAGAGTCAGCTGCATGTTAGCACGGGGCGAAAGATCCCTGTCTAGCGTTTCTGTGTGGCTGTTATACTGCTGTTGCGTTCTGCTCCAGAGTCAGCTGCATGTTAGCACTAGGCAAAAGATTCCTGTACAGTTTGGCTGTGTGTCTGTTATACTGCTGTTGTGTTCCACCCCAGAGTCAGCTTTTTGTAATTAAATAGATGGTAATGATGGCATTAAGGCAAACGTACTGCTATTGAAATGAAGGGAATTTTGCCATTAGTTTCAGTGATACAGGAATTGTGCCCATTACTATTTATCTTACCATGATAATGGGCCAGATTCTGATACCTTTATATTCATTGAGTAGTATCTTTCTTTAGGAATAATCCCACTGATGACACATCTGTTCGAATATTGGTGTTTTCACAGTGATTTTTGATATGTCAGAGAGGAGCTGAATGAATATTTATATTCTCATGTTCTTTACTACAGATTTACTTCTCTAGTCTAGCACTCTCTGGTCCAACAATATCCGTGGTCCGGCATGATTTTATTTAGATGGATTTCCACTTATCATGGGTATGGCCAAGTTTCTTGCTGTCCCATAAAGTTTCTTTATAGCCACTAGTCCTGGTTCTCAGTGTTCTGTACTCTTATTTAGTTTTACTTTACCCCTTAAATGTCTTTTAAGAGCCTAGTAAATCAGCTGCATGTTAGTGTAAGGGGACTGTTAGCCCCTTACTAAAACTCTGTGGGAGTTTTTGGTTTGCCAGCTCCCAGTATCTGAAGGGGAAGAGTTCATGAGACTGACTGACCCCAGAGACAATGGAAAGCAGCCAACACTCCAGCTTAGCCTGATTGACAGGTTGGACAGGCCAGTGAGGAAGGGGAGAGGCCAGGCCCC